TTGGATATTTAGACATATTAAGTAGATGTTCATAATATCCACTTGAAATTTTATCAGATGACTTCTGTAGTTAGTTATGAGTCTTTGAAGCATGCTCACAAAGGTTCTATTATTGATATTATTTTCATACTGGTCAAAACTTTTTTTTGCTTTGACCAGCTTTGGAGGAGATATTTTCAAAGAATTAATAAAAAATAACACAGAAGTTTACTTTCTAGCTCATCTAGCCCCAAGCATCATGTCAGGCATTGTCATTACTAAAAATCATTCTAATCTGAGAAACAATTTCAACATCTAAACGAAATCATTTACTTATGATACTGACGATCCACCACAAAGTAATATAAATAGAACCATACAAATAGTAAGCAAATACATGTTCTCAGATAACATCTCCCATATAAAAAAATCACATTATGAAAAAATGAACCTATTATGTGTTCCTCTCCTAGCTACAAAATGTATCCAAAATCAAAGATGTGGAACATATTCTATCATAATCATTTGGTAATTAATGCAATTAGTGTCTCTTCCATGCCCGTGTTGAACATAAAAAACTAAATATTAAATTAACAACATTCCTAATGCTCAGGTTGGTTGTCATTGTGCAGCACAGTTAATACATAGAAAACATAAAACATAAAACATAGAACTCTTTTTGTCATATAAAACACTGTCATACATCCAATCATACTATCCACACTGATCTGTGTCCACACTTGTTTCTTAAAAAAAAAAAAAAATTCTCATATTTTATTTTAAATTCTATCTCATAGATTTCTATTTATTCACAAAATTGTGTTTTTTCATGAACAATCTATGCAAATTTGTGCAATTTTGCACGACTTGTAGCTTGGAAAATAGTTACCCATACTATTTATTATATTTTTAAAAAAAGCATAGTAAAATCTTCATTAAGGCAAAGTACAAGAAAATTCTATCTGAGGAAATATATACCGCTAATCCAACTTAAATAATTTTCAAGAGCATTTTACGGAATAAGCATTATTTTTTAAGATAATGAAAAATGCCCTAAAAACTTATAGTATACAGAAATTAAGGACGCCCATCCAGACCCTAATATATATGGCAAGCCGTTGAGGAATTTATTCCCTTTTTTTAATATTGATTTATATTAGAAAATCATTTTTCATATTAAAAAATGATATGATTTTCTAATATTCTAATCAAAATTCCCTAATGACAGCAGTGCTTATTATAAATTATAAGAACTTAATTTGCAAGATAATTTAAGTCAATATAGCATCATATTTTTTCAACCGCTCGCTCAACAGGGGAAGAAAGTGATGATGCCCCTAAACGCACAAATGAGGTTCACTAAAACCAAAGATTTTGACGGAAATGCAACAAACTGGAAAGTGGTCTATTAATGTGATTTCACGGTCTTGCCAATCTCTTTGTATTTATGTCTCTTGTAGAACTAATTAAGTGTTCTGGTGTTCAAAAATTTTTGCTGTTTCTCAATATCTATTATATTAGTATTCAAAAAAATGAAAACACTGTAATTTTCATGCGTCTGAAGTTCTTTTCTGGAATAACCTTCTTAAAGAACGCTCAAAGCTAAATATTTGAAAGCCAAAGCTGTATAAGAACCAAAACAGTTGAGCTATTATCACCAAAATGGACCTATTTTGGGTTGATACCACTGCATGTGGACTACCAGCCCCCAAGGGTATCAGTAATCAATACTTGGGTATTGACATGATTATAAGGAATCTGATGTTCAGTAGTTGTCGTTTGTTGATGTGGTTCATAAGTGTGTCTCGTTTCTCGTTTTTTTATATAGATTAGACCGTTGGTTTTCCCGTTTGAACGGTTTTACACTATTAATTTTTGGGGCCCTTTATAGCTTGCTGTTCGGTGTCAGCCTAGGCTCTGTGTTGAAGACAGTGCTTTGACCTTTAATGGTTTACTTTTATAAATTTTGACTTGGATGGAGAGTTGTCTCATTGGCACTCATACCACATTTTCTTATATCTACTAAAAATAAAAGCCAAATCCTTCTAAGGTCATCTTTTGTTTCAGGGAGTTGAAACCTAATAGTTTCTTAATAATTTTATAATTTATAAACGGACAATTTAAGAAAAGTTTGTTATAAATCATGTCAATACCCAAGTATTGATTACTGATACCCTTGGGGGCTGGTAGTCCACATGCAGTGGTATCAACCCAAAATAATAAAGAAAAAATTTCAAACTGGATTGTCCTATTTTTCTGAAAATTACATAGAGATAAATCTGAACTGTTTACTCTTGCTAGCTGCTTTAATTATTGAAAGTCAAGCCAAAAAGTGCATTTTACCCTAGGCCTATGTTCTTTCTTAAGCATCAGTGGCCAAGTCTTTCTAAACTAGATACTCTAAGAAGCATTCAGATAAAGTCTGGTAAATTTGGCCTTGTAATTTCACAGGAGATTTTTTTTAAGGTTAGGATGGAGGATGTTAAGTGTTGGTATTAAGCTACTTTTCAGCATTTTTTGTGTATTTTGTATGAAAATGAATGTTGTTTTTTTTGTTCAACTGATACACAATACACAATCAATAGGCAATACATAATCTGTTCCTTGAACTGCTTTTTCAAATCAACATGTGACACAAGTCCCACAACATACATGTACACATACTGGCCTCTAAAAACACTGCAAAGGATCTCATTTGTGTAGAGAGCACAATGTAGCACAAAAGTGAATAAAAAAACCACGAAAGACCTAAACAACGTGTTTTTATCCCATATGTATGCAGTGTGCGTCTTTCAAAATATTAACTTGAATCCATTTATACAATTTCTACAAGTTCATAAGTTGTGGCTATCCCTTTTGTCTCGATCAGAAATAAAATAGTCATAAACTAAACTTAACTGAGTGATTGAAATAAAATCATGTGAAACACTCCTAATTTCAGAAACCTCTTTCCTGTTACTGGCATTTGCCATCCAGATTTAATCTAGATTTTTAGATCTAATACCAGGTAATTGAGCAGATACACCTGCATGCAGAAAAAAAAAAACAGTAAATGAAATACCAAAATTAAAAATTCGTAAGGGTTCCGCGGAACCCAGTGTCTCGCCTACTTTTTCTGTTAATCGCAGGCTCAACAAAAATGAGGAAGTAAATCAATAAAAATATTCCTCTTGATACTATCTTTTGATTGTAAGAAGCTTCTGTCCAAGTTTGGTAAAAATCCAGGATAGTTTATGAATCTAATAAATGTTTAAAAACATTAACTGCAGACTGAATCTAATGTTAACTGGAAGAAAAAAAAAATTTCCTTCTAGATACTAGCATTTGACCATAAACAAGCTTCTGTCCAAGTTTGGTACAAATCCAAAATAGTATAAGAAAGTTATTAAAATTTTAAAAACTTTAACCACAGAGTGAATGTGTTGTTTCTTGGCAGAAAATCTAAGTCCATTTAAAAGTAAAATACTGAAAAATAGATTTATTTTTTTACAAAATTTCCTTCTAGATACTAGCTTTTGATCTTAAACAAGCTTCTGTCCAAGTTTGGTACAAATCCAAAATAGTATAAGAAAGTTATTAAAATTTTAAAAACTTTAACCACAGAGTGAATCTGTTGTTTCCTGGCAGAAAATCTCAGTCCATTTAAAAGTAAAATAAGGAAAAAATTGATTTTTTTTTTACAAAATTTACTTCTGGATACTATCTTATGATCATAAACAAGCTTCTGTCCAAGTTTGGTAGAAACCCAGGATAGTTTAAGAAAGTTATTAAAATTTTAAAAACTTTAACCACAGAATGAATGTAATATTTCCCGGCAGAAAAACTAAGTCCATTTATAAGTAAAATACGGAAAAAATGGAATTTTATTTTTTACAAAATTTACTTCTGGATACTATCTTATGATCATAAACAAGCTTCTGTCCAAGTTTGGTAGAAATCCAGGATAGTTTAAGAAAGTTATTAAAATTTCAAAAACTTTAACCACAGAGTGAATATTTGTGGACGCCGCCGCCGCCGACGACACCGACGCCGACGGAATGTAGGATCGCTATGTCTCGCTTTTTCGACTAAAGTCGAAGGCTCGACAAAAATGAATGAGTGAATGATTTCAGAGGAGTTGCGATGACAAGAACAGGACTGACTGATGAACGGACAGACAGACGGACAGACGGATGGGTCAAAAACATTATACCCTCCGCAACTTTTTTGCGTGGGGTATAAAAATCAAAATCTAACTTGACCTGTACTTTTATGGTCCATGACATTCTCAAATAAATTTCATTAACGAGACTTATAATTCATATAATATTACTATAACTTCTATAATCCCTTAAATATTTAGGCTTAAACAAAACTAACAATATATTCATGTTCCTGATAACCCAGACAGCTCATCTGGACACCAGATTTTAATGATTTTTAAAACAATATCCATGTATACAAATTGTAAGCATATATACATTAAAGATAATCATAAAAATTATAATTGATGAAATGCTTCTATGCTGTATTTCAAGTTAAATACTAAATAACGACAAAATCTCTATCATCAACAATCTCCCTGCCAGGAACAACCATGACAACCAACTAAAACGAGTGAACTTGGTCAAACTTCTTTAAAAACTGAATTTGTAGTGGGAAAATGTTGGAAACCTGAGTCCAAAATCTAATGCTCTAAAGACCGTCTCAGGAAGTATACTTTAGACAGTATAAAAAAATGTATAATTATTAAGAACAAAACGATTGATAAAACTATAAATTATATTAAACTCAGCTAAAAAATAAAAGAAGAATGTGTCTGAGGACACGATGCCCTTGCTCAAGCTTTGCAATTTTAAAAATTGAAAAAGGAGCATAACTCTAGAAAAGTAAGTGACTCACTGCCCAAATTTGCAACTTTCCAACTGATAAAGGGGCATTACTCTTAAATTAATTGCAGAAACAAAAATGGGACAAAAGGAACAACAAAAGCACAGAAGGACGTCCTTTCCCTATGGCAGGGGCATAAAAAAACGAAAAAAGTCGGAAAAGATATATATTTAACAACGGTGAAAGCCAAAATATACATTTTATTTTTTCTTTTTTTTTTAAGATTCTCCATCCTTAACTTCTGGAAGTGTTTTGACTAGACACGGACCATTATTAATATATCTAAAAGAGTAGGTCTTCAAATAAAATTGGTCCATTTCAATTCATTTTCAAAGTACCAATTAAATCTAGCCACAGGGGAAAAAAAATAATGAATACATGATTGAATCTGAACTATGAACTCAAAACAAAACTATACATACCAAAAACCAATTCAGTATCAATATGCATGACAAAAAAATTGTCAAGAATGGACATGAGTAGAGCTACCTGAATATATCCTTTGATTTTAATGGTAAAAAAAAGAGAGATTTTAAAATTCAAAATAAGTTATCTATAACTTACAATCTTGTTGAAAATGGAGAATCTTTACACTATTTGTTTTTTTTGTAAAAAATTATAAACATTTTCTCAAACATACACAAAAATTGTCTGAATTATATTCTTTACTGGTACAGTCACCCAATCATTTTCATGCAGCCACAGTTAAAGTTACCTGAAAAAGAAATATTCATTCTTAAACATATCTGTCAAAACTATGTGAAAATAATTGAAACAATATTTAATGCAAAAGAATAATTACCTGGGCATTACAATTATGATGCATATAACATTTCTTTACCTAGCTTTAAAGTGACTCGTGGACATAACTTTTAGACTACCAGTCTTTGTTGGCAAAAAAAGATGAAAAACAAGTCGTTGTTTGTTGTCTATCATATTTGTTTTGTTTATTGTTTTATCCTATATCAAGTCATTGGTTTTCTCATATGAATTATTTCACATTTTGTCATGTTGGGGCCTTATATAGCTTACAATACAGAATAGGTTTTGCTCATTGTTGAAGACCATAAAATGGCATTCTATAGTTGCTAACATCCTTGTCATGTGGTTATTGGTTGATTAATATCTCGTTGGCAATCATACTACATTTCTTAATTTCTATATAGTGGGATTAATTTAGATAAACAAAAACAGAGAGAAGATATCCAAAATTCAAATCTTTGACTTCCCTTACTTGTATCTTGATACCCCCTTCCGAATTATACATATATACACTTATAACATGAATAAACTGTTATCATAGAGATATGTCTCAATTTTTTGTAATTTTGATTATGCAAATGTTGAAATTAAAATGGCAAAACTTAACAAGTTAGGCTAATATTCAAAGTCAATGAACCATGACTGAGGTACATGGCTAAACCATCTTCATGTAAATGAGATGCACCAATGCTAATACAACTGCACACCAAATATCATTGACTTATTATAAGTTGTTCCCTTTAAACAAACCTAAACACAATCATTAACTTGTAGTAAACTATGTAAAAGTTTCAAAGTCAATGAACCATGAAGAGCGGGTGGAGCTATATAATCTCCATGGAAACGATACTTATAAATGCCAATAAATTTGCATACCAAAAACATTAGCAGTTCATCTTAAACTGATCTTATCACAAACTAATATATGTAAACTAAGCAAGTTTCAAAGTCAATAGGCCATGACTGAGGGGATGGGGCCAAATATTCTCCATTGAAATGAGATGTGCTAATGCTTATACAACTGAATACCAATTAACATTGGCCTACCACTAATAGTTCCTCTTGAACTGACCTAATCACAAACTAATACATGTTAACTAAGCAAAATTTTCAAAGTCAATAGACCATGACTGAGGGGGCTGAGCCAAATAATCTACATGGAAATGAGATGTGCCAATGCTTATACAACTGCATACCAAATATCATTGACCTACCCAGGGACTTTCTATACTAACGGGACTGGTCACTTATAACGATGTCTATACAAATTATCAGACTGATCTCGGCCGTAGCTGATGTCACGTGACTTTATAGCAAATCATTTCCCATTTACGGAGTGTTCTTCATAACTATATGTTCAAGTTTAACAAAAACTCGTTTTTATGAAATTTTATACATTTTGTCATTGCAAAATGTTGTTTTTCAAAAGATTTCTCGGATCGTTTTTTAAATATTGATCTTTGAACTTTGAGGTATTTGTTCGTTGAATTTTCAGTAGCCGCCATCTTGTTTGATACGGTAAACCATTTTACACACGCGGGATGTTCTTTAAAACGATACGTCTAAGTTTAATAATTCATCATTCTTTCAAAATCTTATATTTTTTGTCATCGTAAATGGCTATTAATCAGATTTTATATTAACAACTAATAATAATTATATAATTACAATGAACTGTGAAATACGCAAATAACTACTAGCATCGTATATCAGAGATACGAAACTAAGTTTATTGTTGGGTGGTAGCTTTAAACAGGCGGCTTAGTAATCAGTTAAAATCAATAGAGACGAGTCCCGTTAGTATAGAAAGTCCCTGACCTACCACTAATGGTTCCTCATAAACTGACCTAATCACAAACTAATACATGTAAAATAAGCAAAAGTTTCAAAGTCAATAGACCATGACTGAGGGGGCAGGGCCAAATAATCTCCATGGAATTGAGATGTGCCAATGCTAATACAACTGTATACCAAATATGATTGACCTACAACTTGTGGTTCACCACAAACTAGACCTAATCACAAACTAATACATTGTTGACACCGCCACCGCCGCCGGAAACAGCATACCTAAGTCTCGCTTTTTGACTCTGGCAAGCAAGACAAAATCTAGTGACATGCTCTAAGTTGAATAGTTCATAAATCTATGTACTAATTCTCTTACCAAAAAAGTCAGCTCCAATGGCCATTCCCAACCTCAATCCTTACGGACAAGCTGTGATGTTAACCTGAAATATAAAATGCTTCATCATCAAAAATTGTTTAAACTGATCATTGTTGGTATACTTATATATATTTAATATAAACAATGGTAGTCAATAAATGTGTAATAGATGTTGAGAACATGTGTATAAATTGTGTAATTATAAATCGTCTAAAGCTATCCAGCAACCCAGCAAACTTTTTATGTAATTACATCAGATCCTAAGATTTACTTATATAATGGTAGCTGATAAACGAAAGAGTAGACTTCTGACCAACTCCTAAAAGCCTAGAGAGAATTTTCCAAAGAAATTTTATAATACATTTGGTTTTTTTTTTTCTCTTCAAAACTGGAATAACATTCTGGTACTTACCTTCCTTTTAGATGTATTAGACCCCAAAGTTTTATAATCCAACACCATGAAAATCATGTCACAGAAAGGTTACCTAAAAAGGAATTAAAATGGATACATTATTATATATTTTATAAATCCATTTCTGTCAACATTAACATTTACTAAATATTGTTTTGATTTCTTACTACATGTTCACAATAGTATAACATCAACACCTAAGTTTGTAAAATTAATATATAAAGATGGAAAACTAAAAGGAAGTCAAAGAATAATGATTTGAATATCAACTGCATTAAAATCTGCATATTTTACAGAGTTATCTCCCATTGAATTAACAAATCTTGGAAGCTCTATTCCAATCTCAGGATTTACTCTTGCTATTTTTTTTAGAAAATCTTGTTAATATACTTGGTACAAATTGTTTCTTTAAATATTAAACTGGTAAAATAATTCTCGATCGGGTAGATGTTTTCACAATTTTTAGTTTTCAGTTTTCTAACTTGGAAAATATGTTCTCACCATTCACAATTGGCTACTGTGAGAAAAACATAATGTCTAATACAGTTATCTTTTAATTTTTTTTGTTTTAATTATCCTGATAAGAATTCAACTGGCCAATGTACATGTAATGGTGTATAATATCATACCATTAGTATTTGCAAAACTTTCTTAAAATGGTGTTGATACTTTATAAAGGTATTTAAGTTGATTTCTTCTGTTTGTTTTATCCCATTAAAATCAATAGTCAATACCATATTTTATTTCTTTAAGACAAACAATTACACACATAGGACATATAAAGACCATCAGAAATAATAAATACGGTATTGTAACCTATATATCTCCGTAAGAACTCTGTAATGGAAACAAATAATAAAGATTAGTGATGTTTGAAAATTTTTTGTCACTTCTATCAAAGCAGGCTCTCTTAAAAGCTTACAGTAGATTTAGCTTCATCTGTGATAAAAATAAAATATATAGAGTATAGAGTATAGAGTATAGAGTTACGGAAATCTATATGCCACTCTTCCTGGTCTGTTAGCCATATTCAAGGTCGACAACTGAAACATCCTCTCTAAGCTGAATCTGCAAAAATCCAAAATTACAAATTAAACATCTGTGAGTGAACTGAAATGAAATATAAATATACTAGTCAACAAAAGTAACGATACACAAGTTTGAACTCTACTTTATCATAATATATAATAAAATAGGAAAAACTGTTAAATTATCCAATGAAAAACATTCATTTGCAAAGCAAATGCATATGATTAAAAGAATCTGACCAAAATGGAAAGTGAGAAACTACCGTGTTATATAAAACAGGGGTCAAATTTATTTTGCGGAACATAGATTTTATTACAAATTTATTTTATTGAACATAGATGTTCCTCAAATAGTCAAAAAATATCAAAGAGACTTAAGGGCTACAGTTCCAAAGCTACCTTACCATCAGTTCTTTGAAGAAACCTATATAAAAAATAAATATATATACAACAATATACATGAAAATATATAAAATGAAATAAATCAACCAATCTTACTATTAGGTGCAGAACCATAGCTCTTAATTAGGTCCTTATGATATATTATAAAGACCGTAGAGCTATGGTTCTGCAGCTACCTTTCCATCAATTCTGTGAAGAAACCTATATAAAAAATAAATATATATACAATATACATGAAAATTTATAAAATAAAATAAATCAACCAATCTTACTATTAGGTGCGGAACCATAGCTCTTAATTAGGTCCTTATGATATATTATAAAGACCTAAGAGCTACGGTTCCGCAGCTTCCTTACCATCAATTCTATGAAACAAGAGTGCACACGCTGAAATGTCTCGCCTTCTTTACTAATCATTGATATTATGTTGATAGTCCTAAATATAAAGCTTTATTACAACTGTCACATAAACTTAACATTAACCAAGTAAACTAAACATTGACCAATGAACCATGAAAATGAGGTCAAGGTCAGATGAACCATGCTAGGCAGGCATGTACAGCTAACAATTCTTCCATACAACAAATAGAGTTGACCTATTGCTTATAGTTTAAGAAAAACAGACCAAAACACAAAAACTTAACACTGAGCAATGAACCTTGAAAATGAGGTCAAGGTAAAAAAAAACTGCGTGACTGACAACTAGATCATAAAATATTTCCATACACCAAATATAGTTGAACTATTGCATATAGTATTAGAAAAAAAGACCAAAACTCAAAAAAATAACTTTGACCACTGAACCATGAAAATGAGGTCAAGGTCAGATGACACTTGCCAGCTAGACATGTACACCTTACAATCATTCCATACACCAAATATAGTAGACCTATTGCATACAGTATCAGAAAAACAGACCAAAACACAAAAACTTAACTATAACCACTGAACCATGAAAATGAGGTCAAGGTCAGATGACACCTGCCAGTTGGACATGTACACCTTACAGTCCTTCCATACACCAAATATACTAGACCTATTGCTTATAGTATCTGAGATATGGACTTGACCACCAAAACTTAACCTTGTTCACTGATCCATGAAATGAGGTCGAGGTCAAGTGAAAACTGTCTGACAGGCATGAGGACCTTCCAAGGTACACACATACCAAATATAGTTATCCTATTACTTATAATAAGAGAGAATTTAACATTACAAAAAATCTGAACTTTTTTTTCAAGTAGTCACTGAACCATGAAAATGAGGTCAAGGACATTGGACATGTGACTGACGGAAACTTCGTAACATGAGGCATCCATATACAAAGTATCAAGCATCCAGACCTTCCACCTTCTAAAATATAAAGCTTTTAAGAAGTTAGCTAACGCCGCCGCGGCCGCCGCCGGATCACTATCCCTATGTCGAGCTTTCTGCGACAAAAGTCGCAGGCTCGACAAAAACCTATATAAAAAATAAATATATATACAACCATATATACATGAAAATATATAAAATGAAATAAATCAACCAATCTTACTATTAGGTGCGGAACCATAGCTCTTAATTAGGTCCTTATGATATATTATAAAGACCTAAGAGCTACGGTTCCACAGCTACCTTACCATCAATTCTTTGCAGAAACCTATATAAAAATAAATAAATATACAACAATACACATGAAAATAAATAAAATGAAATAAATCTACTAGTCTTACTTTTAGGTGCGGAACCATAGCTCTTAATTAGGTCCTTATGATATATTATAAAGACCTAAGCGCTATGGTTCTGCAGCTACCTTCCCATCAATTCTTTGAAGAAACCTATATAAAAATAAATAAATATACAACAATATACATGAAAATAAATAAAATGAAATAAATCTACCAATCTTACTATTAGGTGCAGAACCATAGCTCTTAATTAGGTCCTTATGATATATTATAAAGACCTAAGAGCTATGGTTCTGCAGCTACCTTACCATCAATTCTGTGAAGAAACCTATATTAAAAATAAATATATATACAACAATATACATGAAAATATATAAAATGAAATAAATCAACCAATCTTACTATTAGGTGCGGAACCATAGCTCTTAATTAGGTCCTTATGATATATTATAAAGACCTAAGAGCTACGGTTCCGCATCTTCCTTACCATCAATTCTATGAAAAAATCTATATAAAAAATAAATATATATACAACCATATATACATGAAAATATATAAAATGAAATAAATCAACCAATCTTACTATTAGGTGCGGAACCATAGCTCTTAATTAGGTCCTTATGATATATTATAAAGACCTAAGAGCTACGGTTCAGCTGCTACCTTACCATCAATTCTTTAAAGAAACCTATGTAAAAATAAATAAATATACAACAATATACATGAAAATAAATAAAATGAAATAAATCAACCAATCTTACTTTTAGGTGCGGAACCATGGCTCTTAATTAAGTCCTTATGATATATTATAAAGACCTAAGGTTCCGCAGCTACCTTACCATCAATTCTTTGAAGAAACCTATATAAAAATAAATAAATATACAACAATATACATGAAAATAAATAAAATGAAACAAATCTACCAATCTTACTATTAGGTGCAGAACCATAGCTCTTAATTAGGTCCTTATGATATATTATAAAGACCTAAGAGCTACGGTTCCGCAGTTACCTTACCATCAATTCTTTGAAACCTATTTAAAAAATCAATATATATGCAACAATATACATGAAAATATATAAAATGAAATAGATCAACCAACCATACTATTTATAGCTGTGGAACCATAGCTCTTTGGTCCTTATGATATTTATTGAACATAGATTGTCCTCAAATAGTCAAAAAATATCACAAGGACCTAAGAGCTACGGTTCCGCAGCTACCTCACCATCAATTCTTTGAAGAAACCTATATAAAAAATAAATATATATACAACAATATACATGAAAATATATAAAATGAAATAAATCAACCAATCTTACTATTACATGTATTAGGTGCAGAACCATAGCTCTCAATTAGGTCCTTATGATATATTATAAAGACCTAAGAGCTATGGTTCCGCAGCTACCTTACTATCAATTCTTTAAAGAAACCTATATCAAAAATAAATATATATACAACAATTTACATGAAAATATATAAAATGAAATAAATCAACTAATCTCATTATTAGGTGCTGAACCGTAGCTCTTAATTAGGTCCTTATGATATATTATAAAGACCTAAGAGCTACGGTTCCGCAGCTACCTTACCATCAATTCTAAGAAGAAACCTATATAAAAAATAAATATATATACAACCATATACACATGAAAATATATAAAATGAAATAAATCAACCAATCTTAATATTAGGTATAGATCCATAGCTCTTAATTAGGTCCTTATGATATATTATAAAGACCTAAGAGCTACGGTTCCGCAGCTACCTTACCATCAATTCTTTTGAAGAAACCTATATAAAAAATAAATATATATACAACAATATACATGAAAATATATAAAATGAAATAAATCAACCAATCTCACTAATAGGTGCGGACCCGTAGCTCTTAATTAGGTCCTTATGATATATTATAAAGACCAAAGAGCTACGGCTCCGCAGCTACCTTACCATCAATTCTTTGAAGAGACCTATATAAAAAATAAATATATATATAAAACAATATACATGAAAATGTATAAAATGAAATAAATCAACCAATCTAACTATTAGGTGCGGAACCATAGCTCTTAATTAGGTCCTTATGATATATTATCAAGACTTAAGAGCTACGGTTCCACAGCTACCTTACCATCAATTCTTTGAAGAAACCTACCGGTATATAAAAAATAAATTTATATACAACCATATACACATGAAAATATATAAAATGAAATAAATCAACCAATCTTACTATTAGGTGCGGAACCATAGCTCTTAATTAGGTCCTTATGATATATTATAAAGACCTAAGAGCTACGGTTCCGCAGCTACCTTACCATCAATTCTTTGAAGAAACCTATATAAAAAATAAATATATATACAACCATATACACATGAAAATATATAAAATGAAATAAATCAACCAATCTTACTATTAGGTGCGGAACCATAGCTCTTAATTAGGTCCTTATGATATATTATAAAGACTTAAGAGCTATGGTTCCACAGCTACCTTACCATCAATTCTTTGATTGATTGATTGTTGGTTGCTTAACGTCCAGTGGCAAATATTTCATGCATATTCAGGACGAGAACAAGTTCACAATAAATACAATAGGTAGGTTCTGTAATAGATTATGGGATTAAGGTCGGAGAAATTAAGACTGCCACGGGAAATGAGGGTATATTCGATAGGGACAGAAATTTAGCCTTGCAACAGGTCACCTACGGACCCCTCAAAGAGTTGTTGCATGGGTTCTTAACGTGCAAAGAACGTGGCACTTTCTTAACACGAGGCATGAGATTTAACGTCCCCATTCTGACCGGACGTGGCTGCAAATTTGTACATCCCGCACAGCCAAACGGACGCCCCACTTTAGCACGGGTTTTACTGCCGGTTGGAGGAAGACCAATGGTGACCATACTTCTATTCCCCAGTCACCCTTGGGGGTTCAATTCTTTGAAGAAACCTATATAAAA